ATTTCGAATGTTAATTACTAAAGAAAAAAGAAAAGAAAAGAGAAAGAGCAATATAACATATGATAGTAAAAATTTTTTAAAAATTATTCTGTCGAAAACCTTACCATAATGTTATATTATTGTAATTTCAATAGTTAGGCTGAAGATTTTCGACTCAATCTTGCAAAAATTTTTTTTTTTGATAAAATTTAGAATGCTAGTAATAATAAATAGTAAATATTGCAGGAATATTTTCAAATATTATTCATTCAATTCAATCATTTTTTCGTTTTTTCCTTTTTTTTTTTGTTTTCCTATTATAATAAACATTTATTTTATTCATAAACATATTATTGTTGCATAAATTTAAAGTGTAATTCTCTTTCTCATCCCGTTTTCATTTTCATTTATCATATATATACATGTGAAAATTTTTTTCTAACATTGAAATATATTTTTTTGCTTGCAAGAACAGAAAGGAAGTTAAAAAAAAATCATAGAAAATTGATTACTGTAACACAAAACACGGTATTGATTAGCATTTACTAATTGTTGTGATTACTAATCAGTATAAAAACAAAGGATTGATTATTGCAGTATGAAATACAATATTGTTGATAATAACTAGAAGGTTTGATTGTATAATATAAAATCAATTAATTTTGGTGCACTCATTGAAAATAACCAAAAACTGGTTACCGTGATATAGAATATGGTATTTTCAGCAAATTATCGATCACTGTAGTTGTTAATCAATACGATAATTAAAATGGTCGCTGCAGTCATAAAATATGATAGTGATTAGCAGTTATTACTTACTTTAGTTGTAGTCAATACAAAAAGTGGTACAAAACGGGTATTCATTAACAATCACCAAAGGTCTATTACTGCATTGCAAAATACTTTATTTATTAACAATCAAAAAATAATTAAAAGAAGATTCAAACGAAAGCAAAGATTATATGTACCGCAGTGCTTTCATTAAATTATTATTTTTCATATTTATGCATTTCCAGTCTTTTCGTTTTTTTTTTCTCGGAAATTTTTTTGATAATTAAACATTACCTTTAAATTACCTAGCAATGACATAGTAATATATTTAACTTTATTTAGATCTAAATTTTTTCAAATTCATTTTTAATCTCATTCACTAGCAATTAACGTAGGAATGGGAATACTTCTTGAATACGTTTTCATCGGAATATTTTCAAATATATATGTGCTAAAGAATAGGAATTGAATTGTTTCCGCTCAACAAATTCAAATTCATTATCGAAGTGCCAAAAACATTTTTCATTTAATTTCAAAAAATTATAAATTTTTTTCACTATAATTGTATGATAAGATTCTTATGATAGGTTATATTCACTGGTGTCCCGTAGAAAAATGAAACTGCGACAAGTAAATTTTATTTGATAATTTCAGACGTTATTAAATTATTTCAGCTAATAAATTCGAATATTAATGGAGAAATTTCATCCACTTTCTTGTTATGAATATCATTTAATAATGAATGGTTCAAACTACTATATTTTTTTTATAAAACGATAATGAAAAAAATCAGAAAATTCAAATTACTATATATTTCTATTTCTGTATATTCAAATTACCATATTTTTTATTTCCGATTTTTTTTCTTTCTCTAACGATTTCCTTTCATTTTATCCTTTCTTTTCGACCATACTTACTGATTTTGTGCTAGCATTTCCTTTTTTCGGATCCAGCTTTTTTTGCAACAATATTTCGAGGTTTTTGAATCATTGATTGCATCCCACCTGTAACGTTAACTGTTTTTGGTGTCGTTATTCTCTTCGTTGTTTTGCGTTTTGTTGTTGCGATAGAATGAGTGATAAATGTAAATTTCACAGAAAAATTGTGAATATCTGGAAGATCAATCATTCTGAATTGATTACGATAGTACTCTTCGCCTTCTCGATCATCGTCGAAATCCGGATAATCTCGTTTAAGTGGTCGCACTTCAGTCCAAAATCGTTTAATCCGATGTTTTGGTAATATTTCGGATTGTTGCATTTTTCTCGATGATATTTCATTGTTTTTATTGCTGTTTGTACTGCTTATCGATATAATCATCAACAGTATGAAATCTAAACAAAATTATTACGAATAAAAGATAAATATATATATATTCATTATCTTCACAGCAATTGATTAATAAGTAATGAAAAATCTCCTTTTTTAAAAAATTTTGTTAGCAGAAGAAATTTAAAGTTGCACAAACGCAATAATATATATAATTTTTTTTTCAGCAACCTTGCAAAATATGCTATCACTTACATTGTTTATCGTTTAATTTCAGCATGTTTATTCATTTAAAATTTCATTTCAATTATACATTTTGCAAGTAGTACCCTCTTATGCTCTTTGTATAACTAATTGCATCGTAGGATGCAGTCATTAGCACAATGGTTACTTTAAATTGGAATTAGACAAATCCAAACAGCAAACTTTAAGTGGTGTCACTCACACAATAGGATTAATGTGAATAATTATAGGTCTAATATAAACATGATTCAATTTGTCTTTCGAATAAAAAATTGGTACAATATAGTTACAGTATATTTCATTAATTTTTTTTATTTAAATAGGCTGAAAAGTTCTTACCAAATAGAAGAATGAAAGATGAATGTAATTTCAAATTAGTTTTAACCATTTCTTGCTCTGAAATTAAATTTTACTCAACACTACCGATAAATTTTTAATTATTAAAGCTATCAATGAAATTAAGAATGAAGACAAAAAAAAGAAAAAATCATTAAATTATAATATGTAGTCTGATTATCAATAACAAACATATAATTAGCTACCGAGAACAGATAAACCAAAATGAATAATTATAGATAAAGCGGATCATCAAATAATTTAGTTAGGTAACCTAAAATAAATAACTATTAATAATTTATGATTATTCAACAATGCTCTATTTTATCACACAAATAAATATTAGTGATAAACAAGGTGTGGTAATTAGAATGGATTATTCAATTAAAAATTTAGTCGTTGCTTAAAAAAGAAGTTCTTCGTAATACTCAATATTCTTTCGTAATATTCATCCTCGTATGTGTGAAAAAAACGCTAATATTTCATCATATCAAAATTTAAAAAAAGGAAAATTTAAACATTTGAAAAACTAATCAACTCAATAAATAATAATATACTTCAGAAAATTTGCTATTCAACTCAATAAATAATAATATACTTCAGAAAAAGTACTTATTTCCAATTCAAGAATAAAATAAAAAAAGGAAGAAAAAAAGAGTGGGATAAATAAATTGTTCAACTGATGAAAATATTAAAAACTGTCATCCATAAAAACGGCTTCAAAACTTTGAAATTGGTGCTGTTGCGAAATATCTTTCCCATCTTTTCCATTAATGCTTTATATGATTGGAGAGAAGATAATTTCATTGTCGATGATTTAATTCATAAATGATTAGAATTAATGAATTGCATTTTATTCAACTCTTTCACAATTTAATACCTTTGTTTGCAAAATATTTTTGTTTGATTGCTTTTTCTCAACCCCGCCTTTTCTCTCTTCTTTTTCCCATATTTATTGCCTCAAAAAATTTGGATGAATTTTTATTTCTAAAATACAACGCCAAATGTTTTGTTTGAAATCCTTCATAGTATAATATTTCCTGAAATTATTTGCGAAATAATCAGAATTAATATTTTATGGAAAATGTTTTATTTATTTTTTTTTCTCCTTCTGCATATATGGAATAATAATTGGAATTTCATAGGATAGTCAGCCATAAATGAGAATTATATTTATTGCCGTATACAAGTTTCACATCTTACGGTCGAGTACAGTACCTCGCTATGATCCAATTTCATTCATTTGGACTACATATTCCGAATTATTATCATCATCGTTATCTAAAGCGACATCTTTTACTTCAACTAATTTGTGTTATGTAAAAGAAGAGAAAGGAAGGAAAAAAATCACAAGAATAATCAATATTTTATACTGAAAAACATAACTTATTTGAGAACAAATTGAATGCTGATCTAATATCGCGACATACAACAGGGGAAACTGATAGCAAACAAAAGGAAAAAAAACGATATTTTTGAAAAATTCCGAATATTTTGTACATTAAAACAATCAATATGCAAAAAATTAAATAATTAATTATTCAATCGATAGATATATAAATTTCAGCAAAATTCCTCATTTTCAAAACGAATTATTATTTTCGTCTTCAATTGAAGTAAATAATTTATATAAAAAAGTTGCTCAATAAATTGAACAGTATTTTGAAAATATTCTTAAATCAGTTAGTCAAAAATTAATATTGATGATATTATTACTTTAAATAGCGCTTTTAAATCATCGGAAACAAAAATCATTTCCGATGATTTCATTTCCCGGAATAAAAGCATTTGGATTTTTATCATTTAACAACATTTCACCTTTTACTATCAGATTTTGTTGTTTCTTTAAATGCGTATTAATAATTTGAACCTATATTGTTATCTAATTGTTTATTTTTGTTTTTTTTCCGCTCCAGATTCCGGTGAAATAAATCTCATGACAGATATTATTTACAACAAGCTCAAACTTATCGCATAACAAACTTAAACTTATCATGCCTATCATTTGTAAAATCGAAATTTCGAAAAAATCTGAGTAACTAATTTAATTTTCAAATTTCGAGAAAAGGAATCCGAGTAACTAATTTTTTTTTTATTTTTGAAAGCAGAAAAAGAAAACAAATCTTTACGAAAGATTTCAATCAAAAATCTTTGCAAAATGAACGGATTTACTTGAATTTTATATTTGAGAAAATTTTTTTAACGTGCAAAATTTAATCGTCTCATTTGATAATTGAATAAATTTTAAAATTGAAACGGTTTCCTTACATTTAATTGAAAATTTCAGCGCCGTTCGTTTTGCAAAACATTCATAGAGCCACATAACTAGAAATTTACTAAATAGAATGTAAACTGGTTTTTTTTTTTAAAATTTGAAGTTACTATTTGTTCTTCATAATGCATGTATGCAAATGACATTGTACAGTACTGTCTGCAAAATGCATATATGCGTGATGCAATCTATAATTTTTAAAACATAAAATTGCAAATAACAAAAAAAAAACGATGTTCTTTGTGTGAAAAAAAATATTTGAAAAAGTCTATTACATGCATTTTGAAGATTTTTGAACGAAAGTGAAGAAAAAAAAAGAAAACGGAAATGTTTTTCGGGAATTGTCATATCTGTCGAAATTTTTATTCCATTCATTCATCTTCTTGCGGTACTTTTCGTTCAACTGATAGAGTGTTCTCCTAGAAAAAGAAGAAAAAAAATTTTTTTTTCTGAAACATTACTGATATTCATTATCCATTACTTTCAATATTAACTACCGGCGATAATTTTCACATCTATTTTATAGCTCTGTGTATAAATATTTTTTGGATGATAAGGATATAAATGACAAAAGGCAATATTTTTATCATTTCATCAATTATTAATAATGATTCACAATTTTTAAATAAATTTTAAATAACAATATCATCTGCAAAACACTTACTGCTAACATTAATAGTTTCACATTCTTCTGTTCCCGTATTACTTTGTTCAAATAATCGATGTTCATCGGTTACTGCGCTATGATATTCTTTTCTTTCTTGCTACAAAATTAGCGTAATCAATTTTTTCTTTAGAATAAAAATTTAAGTGGAAAATTGTGAAAATTTTACGGATTTTTACACACTTAAAACTGTTGCAATTTTAATTTTTGGAATTTTCAAAAAAAAAAAAAAAAAGAAAAAACGATGAAGAATTTGTTTAATTGTAGACAAACCTCATGTTTGATTGATTTCATATGAACTGTTTCTTGCAATTCTGAAATATTTGCATTCACATCAGCTGCACAAATATTTGATTTATTTAATACATCTGATGGAATATGTTGCATTTCATAAACATTCCATTCCGGATTCCCGTTTTTGTCACTGATCAATGGAATTTTATCATTAATGGTCTCATAAGCATAATTATTTTGAGGAAAATAATTGATGAATTTCTCTTCCGATGATAGCATCGAATCATTTACAGAACTCAAAATCAGTTGCCCATCTAGTGTTAAACCATTGATAATCAACTGATATTTTGGTAAAATATTGTCAATGAATGAATTATTATATGCAGTTTGAGGGATTTCCGATTCTATTTTTCCGTTCTCGAATTTTAATTTCAATTCTTGTCTATATCGTTCTGCATTTCTGATACATTCAGTATCTTCAGAAAATTCTTTTACAACATCATTTCCTATTTGTTGTGATGGAATATCATCATGCTCAAAACTTAATCCATGCCCACTTAGCATTGCATCATTATCCTGTGCTTCTTGAGAATCACCCATAATACTGGTATGATAAGGATGTGATTCGGTGAACGATTCCTTGATAGTATCGCATGAATCCGATATTTCCGTATATCCATCAGCTGTGATCATCGATGAAAGAATGTTATAATGAGATTGAACATTTTCAACCTCTTTTTGCGATACCTCATCAGATTCTGATTTTGACAAATTGATCATTGAAATTTGATCTGTAAATTCAGGAATACATTCCGGAGTAGATATTTGATGTTGACTTTCATCTATTTTCTGCACTTCAACTTTTTCTACATCTTCTTCTGAAGCTTCACTTGTCTTAGTTCCTTCTTCAGTTAGCTGGGTAACATTTTGTGTCATTTCATGCATATATTGTTGTAAAAATTCGTTCAGATGACCTCTCATTGGTTTATTTCTTCCGGATTCTTCCGGAGCATAATTCCTTCCCGAAGTTATCATTTCTTCATTCTTGGATATATCGGATTGCTCCATATCTCTAATTTGTTCACGCGGCGAATTTTGTTGATGCAATGTTTCAGCATTAGCTTCCATCTGATATTGTTCATCTGTCTCCACATCAGATTGCACCACTAAATTTTCCATACTTTCTATATTCGAAATAGCTGCTTCGTCACTACAAACCACAATTTTTGGGATTCTTTCGTCACATTTAAACTCTCCCATAACAGTTATTTTTTCCAAGTTTTCACATACAGCTGCTTCTGATGGTAGCAGTTCACGAAAAGCATAATGTACTTCCGATAATGCTTCATTTTCTTCAATTGCTTCTTTTCTTTCTTCGGAAATTACATCAGAGTTTGATTCGGCTGGAGTTATATTTGATCTCAGAATGTCTGATACCAATAAACCCACCGTATTTTCAAGTGAGTTAGATTCCACTTTTGTTGAATTAAGTTCATCAATGGATTTATTTAGCTTCTCCTCTGTTGAACAATCTTTCTCAGCGAGGACATTTGCATCTGAGAACATTGTATCCAAAGTCTTGGAAGTGACCGCACTTTCATGACTATCTGATTCTCGCTTTTTAAGTGAAGTTAAAATAAACGGTTGGGATTCCTGTATGTCAATAATCACAGGTTCCAAATTATTCGTTAGACCGTCAATTATCAAATTTTCAGGATTCAATAATACTGCTTTCGGTAATTTCTCTTTTTCCACTATAAGCATTTCATCGGTTTCTGATTGTGTTTCCTGGGCTATTGTTTTACTCTCTTCAGCTAACACATCATCATCCACTGAACTTTTCATATACTGTAAGAGTGGTTGAGTGATAGAATCACTTCCAACTAATTCTAGCGTTTCTGGTTCAATTTGCAAGATATCATTAACCTTTTCAACTTCATTGTTTGTTATTTCTGCTGCGGCTCTTGATTTTGAAATCTTTGCTCTTGACCATTCTTCCGGTTCCGGTTCCTCTTTCTTTTCCTCCTGCAATTCTGCGCTTTCGATTACATTCTTCTTAATTTTAGGATAAGAATGCTCAATTAAAGCTGTATCACTCGTGAAAAGTGATTCTGATTTGTCGTCAGTTCCAGGTTTGCTAATGGATTCCAAACCAACTGTACCAACGTCCAATTGTTGAATCTTTTCTTCAAGACTTTCATCAATCACGCTAATGTTTTTCTCCTCATATTTCAACTGTTCATCGATGGAAAAATCTGGAACTTTTTCCACCTGGAAAGCACCTTCTTCAGATTCCATTTCTTCCTTTTTTACCATATCACTTTCAATTTCATTTCTCTCACTTAAATGTTCAGCTTTAGATAATTCCTGTTCATTTTCGACGGAATCTTCTAGTTGTTTAAAAGAAATTTCCGACTTCGGCAGCTCTAAAGATTCATCATTTATCACAGATGTTTCTGGAATTGATTCTGGTAACTTCGACAATCCCTCAGTAATATGTCTGCTGCTTTCTTGATCTATCGCTGATTCAGTCTTTGCTATCTGCGAGGCTTCTTGTTCATCATTTGAGAAGTCCATCTTTGTGTAGCATATAGCACTTTCTAGTTCATCGGCTGAATTACATTCTTCCGGGAATACCGCAGAAGATTTCAGACCTTCGTCAATCGGATTAGGATCTTTCACTGTTTCTTCGAGATTTTTTTCTGGAGCAGGAATTTCCTCCGTTAAATCCGCTGAACAGATTTCAGTTATCGCAACGGAATCGTATCCTTTCAATTTCCCTTCATGCGATACTTTCAAAATTCCTCCGTTAACTGCGACAAATTCATTCATATCGCATTCAGTTTCGTTCGATATTATTTCCCGGTCTGTTATTTCAGTATGCGAAAAAGTGGTATTGTCGCCTGTAGGCATTAGCTCAGATGCTTTAATCACCATTTCAGCATCACTCATTGCTGGTAGTTTATCATCGGGAAGTATGGGTTTTTCTGCTTCCAAAGTAATTTCTGTTTCTATTTCATTTCCAGTTAATTTTTGACTCTCATTGATGATCTTTTCGGGCGGTATCATTTCATGCCCATCAATTTCATTCGGGATTGAATCAGTAGGAGTTTCATGGCTTACAAGATTTTCTGCTGTTTCAGGTGCTATTCGTTTGGAAATAAGAGAAGTTTCCTCCATATTTGCTAATTCCAATTCTGTCGTTTCCGGCGATAAATTGAATGGCAAATTCGAGTTTTGTTCATTTTCAATTTTTACTTGCTCGATTTTTGGTTGTTCAATCATTTGCTCTGGCCAATTCGATTCAGATTCCTTTTCATCATCCAATGGCATTTCTGATTGATTAAGGTTAAGCGGTGAAACCGACTTTTCAGATACTGTTTCTCCCTCGGGTCTCAAATCTATACTTTCCGGTGAAGTAACATTCGAATACACTTCTTCATCATACAAATTCAATGGTGATCCTTCACTTCTATGCTCATCCGGTTCCATTTTTGACTTATCCGCTAATTTCGGAGAAGCAGAAATTATCGCCTGAACATCAGTTAGCTTTGAATCGGTTATCGATTTTATTTTTTGGGTTACCCCAAATGACTTACGTCCATTCGGTGTTACTGTTGTTTTTTGAACAACCTTTTTTGCTTCAATTGGAGTTGATCTGAAAAAATTTTCCCTTCCTAAATTCATTAAATGGAAAGTATTAAAATTGTATATTTCAATAATTTCAGCAAAATTGATAGGACTATCTGACTATTCTATTGCCTATACATATGCATACAGAATCTCATCTTAGGAAATTCCAGAATAAAAGCCAATAAAAATATTTGTTAATCTCTTTTTCTTCATTGCTCTCTTTCAATTAATTAAGATTTTTAAATCCATCAAGAACAATAGTTTCCGTTATCAATCGAATTATTCGGCTGTTTCTAAAAAGAGTTAAAAGTTTGATTACTATGAAATCATGAAAAAAGAATTAATTTAACTTAATTACTTTCTTGTACGTGACACTGTTAGACCACTTTTTGTATTTCGTGAAATGGGAGGTAACCGAGCACTATTCTCGGTACCACGTTGACGTTTTGATTGCGAACGATTATCATGAGAATTATCGTACATATCATTCCGTTGTAATTGCGGTTTACTGGAACGACTGCGATGTTGATTCAGCTTTTGGATACTTCTGAACGAAATCAATGATAAAACAGAAAACATCAAAAGGAATGTAATAAATGAATTTGTCAGGTAGTTTCTAAATAATACCTTTTTTAGTAATTTGCGTACATTGTAGTACTATTATTAGGGTCTTAACATCTCTTTTTTGAGATGAAAAATGAAAAAAAAAGTCATGAAAATCTTAATAGGAATTCTCAAAACTTATGAAATGTTTCTATAGCTACTTCCTTCAAAAGGATTGAAGATCATAATAATAATAAATATTGATAATTTTAATTTAATAGTAGAACAAAATTTAATTCGAAATATTTAACTATTATCTACTTATATATCAAAGTTTATTAGGTAAACTGATATTTCTAAGTTGAATATATTGCATATTTTGAAATTTTACACCTGTTAATTTTCAACTATAAAAGCATACTTGAAGAAAATTTTTTTTTTTTATTTTTTGTTGAAACAGAATAGTACATTTAAATATAATTTGATCAGAAAAAAATTGCAAAAAATAAAAAATGAATAGGAAAGAATGAGAAATTTAAATATTATACATGACATTTCTGTTGTTGTTTTTTTATTTTTCTTGTTTTTCATTTGCTTTGTTAAAAATTTGGAAGCAAACATTGTTACCGTTTGTTTTTATTTGCTATAGAAATTGAGCTGAAATTGGTAATTCTACAAATTCATATATTTTCAATTTTCTTTCATATCATATGTAAATAGCCATTATATTGATTGTAAATTAGATTCAATTTTAATTATATACAATAATATTTTAACATTTCAAAATTTTAAATCCAAATGATTTTAAGGCTAATTTTAATTCAATTACTGGTATAAACTTATACTACTAAGGTCTTTTATTTTGTCTATTTATTAAAATCGATCGATTCCATTGAAGGTACTGAAAAATTTTGGATCATTTAAAATCAAGAAATGCTTTGGAAATTGATTTAGATAAAAAGTAACTTATTTTAACATAGCATTTATTTCGAAAAATAATTGCATCATTTATTTTAAGAATTTAAATTAATGTAAATTTCGCTGTTGTATTTCTTTTTCTTTAACTTTTGATGAAATATCAATTCAATTCTCGGAATGCATCTTAACATTTATCAATCGACAAAAATGGTAATTTCAGTGTTTTTGTGGTTGGTTTGAATACCTCAAAGTCGGCTGTTCATGAATATTGCTTTGTGTAGTAGAAGAAGTAATAGTATTGGTAATGGTAGAAGTGGGCGTACTATCGGTCAAACTGGGTAGTGACCTGCGCCTGAAGAACCATGACACTTGAGGGTCATTTTGATGTCGTGCTACTGAAAATGGTCCAAATGAAACTTGACGAAAGCGTTCCAAACGGCTTAATTGACGTCGCAACTGTTCCATATAGAGAGCTAATGTTTCGTCATCCAACTTCAAAAGAAAAATATATATAAAGATAATTTTATGTTGAGAAAAAAAGGAAAAATGTATTTCGTGAAATGAAATTTATTTTTCAGTTTTGGGAGATTAAATTTTAAGGTTTACTCAATAATTGCTACTGCTTATTTTTTTTTCCTTCAAAACTTACCATAATTTAAAATCTGTCTAATAATTAATTCTACCTCTATCACATTTTCCTTTCATTTCTTTTAGTATTAAAATTTCGAACTTTAACCTTATGTAAATATCGATATTTAAGTATATTCGTTGACAATCTATTATAAACCAATGATGGATTCTCATACATTGGTTCTTCATTTTCCGCTTCAATTCTTTGTACCAAATCTTTATCATCGATACTGGCGGATGATCGCCGCCTTCGGAATCTTTTTATATAACGCCCTACGAAAAAAAAAAAATAATTAGCAAAAATTTTACTTTTTGGCGATGTTATATAAAATATGCCATAGGAGATTTCAGTTTTTTAACAAACAAATTATTCGAATTTTTTAAAAAAAATTCTTTTTTCCACTTCAAATTAGTTTAATCCATAATAATTTTAAATCTTTTTCATTCTTAATAAGCATTAAATCAATACTTATTAAAAATGAAAAAGGATTCTTCCTTCTTCACAACAAATAATATTTATGGTGTCAATTTTTTGCATCTTTTTTCTTTTTTTTCGAATAATTTTTGCTTGTTTTTGCAGCATTAAAAAATTTTCAATTCCTGAGCAAGTGATGAACTAATTAAATTAATTAATTGCTTCATCATTAATAATAATTTCAAATCAAGCAAATTAATAAGTGTATATTGGACAAAGTCATAAATAAATAATAAACAAATAAGTTCTAGGAATTATTTACGTTACTGTTTAATAACTTCAATAGAAAAAACTGTAATAAAGATATGATTGTGAAATTAATTTGTTATCATTTTTTTTTGTCATTCATTTTATAGATTAAACTAATTTGAAGTGGAATATGCGTAAGTAGGATGAACGATGGGATAATAATCGGGTAGAATACCCTAATTTTGAGGTTATATATTAAAATGTAAAATTAAATGCACCATATCAATAATTGCTTTTTTCCTTCTTCATCCCTCAAAAAAATTCTTTAAAAAAAAAGAAAAAAATTTTGTTTTAAAAATTTACTGCAAGGAAAATATTTAATTACCTCGACTGAGACTACGAGAAAGTTTTGCTCGATGACAATCACTTGGACTTATTGTACCACTCTGCAATTATGAATCAATAATGTGTTTGGATATATTTAAAATCAATTTTTAATATTCATCAGAATTGCTAAATCAAATATCGCGAACAAATTGAGATTATTCATGTTTTTAATTCATATTTGCTTAGATTTTCAAACTTTTTGTTAGTAAATAAAAAATCCAATTGCAAAAAAAAGAAAAGGTAGCAAAATTAAGTTTTCCACTAATTTAAGGTCAAGCGTAGTCGGAAAAATCGGGAATTCATTAAAATATAAATTTCATAACACTGAACATCACGCCTAATGAAAAAGCGAGGAAAGAAAAACAAAAGAAAAAAAAAAAACGAACTCTTATCCTACGGCAAATTTCGATTTTTTCCGCTGCATGCAATTTACGCTGCAAGTCAGCATATTTCTGCAATTCAGCTTCACGATTTCGTAGCATTTTGTCGACTATTGTATGATGCTGCTTAGTACACTGCTTGTCATCCATATCTTTGCCACGCCTAATAACATCTATCTGAAATGATTCTATCAATTGATCAAGCAACCATATCAATGCAATCATTCG